TTTTTTTTTGAATTTTAAAAGTATTTAGGAATTGTTCAGGAAAATAATGCCTGTAATTGTATCATCTGAAAGTTGCTTTCATTTTTGTCTTAATATATACCTCACTATTCAAATTTTTGCTCTCCACAAACTCGGGAACCAAATATGTTTATGCAGTAAAGGATATTTGACTTTCCAATCTTTGTCTCTACTCTTGCTCATTGTTGCCTGTAATTGTATCATCTGAAAGTTGCTTTCATTTTTGTCTTAATATGTACCTCACTATTCAAATTTTTGCTATCCACAAACTCGGGAACCAAATATGTTTGTGCAGTAAAGGATATTTGACTTTCCAATCTTTGTCTCTACTCTTGCTCATTTTTACCTAGTTATGGTCATAGTGTTCATAATAATTTGCAGTCATGGTTATACACATTTAGTTTTGCTTAAATGCTCAGTAATGTAACACTTTGTGGAAGATTCTGCTTGATATTCCAGCTTAAAAATGAGATTCATCAGTCTGTTCCCATCATTTTCCCCTGAGTACAGAACATGCTATGCAGTTCTATGCTAGTAACTGTGCAAGTGAAATGGGTTAGAAAACTGACTTAATAGTGGAAAGAACAGTGGATTGAAAGTTAAGAGTACCTTAAATGTAGTTGAGCTATACGCTTTTACTTCTTAGGATATAACTAACATTAGGTCTCCCTTTCTGCTGTAAAAGTAGGCCTATCTTTTTGTTGTTATTAAAATGAATGTTATTAACCTGTAAATGAAGTATCTTACTTACTCACATAGTGTTCTCATAATATCATGGTGCTTCTCACTAATCAACACAGCTTTTTTTGTGGAAAATTCTTAAATGGAGGTGTCTTCTTTCAGTCTGGCCGGGACCTTCAACAGTACCAGAGTCAGGCTAAGCTACTCTTTCGAAAGTTGAATGAACAGTCTCCTACCAGATGTACCTTGGAAGCAGGAGCCATGACTTTTCAGTGAGTAAAATCCCAATTTCTTTATGATCATTTAAGTATGAAATACAGTAATGTAACACCGGATAAGTATGGTAACAAGTTTTTAAAAGTAAAGATAACTTTAAAAATATGGTCTCTTCATGGAAGTAACTTCCCTGGTTCTCATTCTACAAAACTAAAATCTTGGTTTGTCTAGTCAACATTGTTAACCTGTGTCTAATGAATGTGGTATTCACCATGCAAGAATAGATGACTTCTTGCAAGGTAACTTTGAGCAACTCATATAACTTCTCCAA